AATTCTCTTTCTACCCTACTTCTTCAAATTTCAAGGACATAGCTTGCTCAGCCAGGAAGGCACTTTGCCTCTTCTGTATTCCTGTATCTGTTTTTTGGTTAATGTGCTGGTTGGTTGGTATTTATTTATTTATTTATTTATTTATTTTGGTGCTGCCACAGCAATGGATCATAGTGTATAATCTGTTCCTTGCCGTCTCCTTTAGACAGTGTGCATTAGCAGCTCTTCGGGATGTCCGAACCTATTTGAGCATGGAAGAGGGACAAGTGGCGGTAAGATGGCAAAAGTCCATGTAGGTCTTACATCTTGTCACCTGTTTCAGACTGCATGCCAATTCAACTGCCTTCTCTTTTCCATTACCTAGGTTTTCGATGCCACTAACACCACACAGGAGCGGCGTGCCCTCATCCTGCAGTTTGCCAAGGAGAATGGCTACAAAGTAAGCAGGGAAACAAACAGCCCATAGACCGAGTCGTGCAACCTAGAGCTGCAGGCAGATTTGCAGAGCCTTGAGCGCAAAGCCCTAGAAATCCTCAAAGTTATTATCAAGTTGCAAATTTTAAAACTATAGAAGGAAGGAACAATGAAGTACCTGACTGGGAAGTAATCAAATTAATATTTTAGGAAATGAAATGAAATCAATGTTAGTTCTTGCCCTGATCTCACCTTGTACTTTGGAGTCTGGACCTTGTCACCCTATTCAACTGCAAGGCTGGCTCTCTTTGCCACACTCTACATTCTTTGTCACAACGTGAATTCAGATTCGAAAACACAGACTGAATTAAGCAAACTGGGCTTTTGTTTTTGTTTTATTTATTTTCTTGCCTTTATTCCACCTGCATCCTGTTTTCATTTACAAGCAGTAGAGGCAAAGTTCAAAATCTTTTTTTTTTTGACATTCATCAACCATTACAAGACATAAAGATATAAAAAGAAGTAATACCAATATTTTTTTTTGTTCTAGAATGCCTACCCTGCATCCTGTTTTCATTTACAAGCAGTAGAGGCAAAGTTCAAAATCTTTTTTTTTTTGACATTCATCAACCATTACAAGACATAAAGATATAAAAAGAAGTAATACCAATATTTTTTTTTGTTCTAGAATGCCTACTAAGACAACACAGTTCAATTCTTAAACTAGATTAACCAGTCCTCACTGTCAGTTAGGTGACACCTGAGTCACAGTTTTGCCTGTGATTAGATGATGATGATTTTTTAAAAATAATTTTTATTGAAAGTTTTTTTAAAAACAAGACAATGTAAACTAAACTCAGAAAGGAAAAGAAAAATAAAGAAAGAGAGAATAGAAAATGTGAGAAAAGAAAAAAAGAAGAAAAAGGAAAAAATAAGAAAAAAAGAAAAAATTGAAGAAGTGACTTTTGATCTTCATCACAAGCACAAACAAACTTTTTGATTCCTCACCCCCTATAACGTTACATGCAAGTATCTCTTTTTATCATAACCCATCCCTTATCCATTTGCAAATCCATAAATCATTAACACTTCAGTCCTGGTGTCAGCAAAAGTCCATAAAGGGTTCCCAGAATTTTATAAAAACATGTCTTATTTTAACCGTGGTCAAACAAACCAACTTTGTACTCCTTCCTTTTGCTTCTAGGATTCTTGATCTTTAATTCATTCAGATGTTGTTATAGGATTTGATTTCTCTTCAGCTTTTCTTTTTCCCATCTCAGAGGTTTCTTTGAGGCTTTAGCAAACCTCTTTTGTAAATCCGGTAAGGAGTCGTTGTCCAGGTCATTCTCTTGTCTTATCATTTGTATTTCCACTTTAACTGTCATCTCTGTCTTATAATCCACATTTTTTTTTCATTTTCCACTATTTCAACAATGTCTTTATATTCTAATTTTTCTCCATCAGATGAGGCTTATATCAGCTCTTTATCCTGTAGTTCTTCCAAGGTATTCTCTTTCACATCTGTCATTTCTTCTTTAACATCTTTTGGACATAGC